AAAAACTGACAAATCGAAAATCCAAAAGTTCATCAATCCAAAAAATCGAAAAGTAGAAAAATTGAAAAACTGAAGACATTTAGGTATGTTGAAAAATCCCAAAACCCAAATATCGAAAAATTGAAAAATTAAAGAAAAATTGTCCAAAAATCTGAACAAAAAAAATCTAAAAATGAAAAATTCAAAAAACTAACATTCATAAATTAAAAAATTGAAAAATCGAAAAATTGAAGAACCGAAAAATTGAAAAATCGAGAAATTATAAAAACTTTTAAAACTAAAAAAATTGAAAAGTCGAAACAGAAATTTTCAAAAACTGAAACATCGATAAGAATCTAAAACTCGATGGGAAAATTGAATACCTAACAGAAAAATCTAAGACCAAGAAGTCGAAGAATCCAAAGATCCAGATATCGAAACATTAAAAAACTGAAAAATCTAAAATTTAAATTCGATAAATTGAAAAATCGAGGGACCGAAAAACCGAGAATTCGAAAAAACTAGAATTTCAAAAGTTGAAAAATTAAAATCTCAAAAAACTGAAAAATCCAGAAATTGAAAAGTTCTTAAAATTGAAACGCGGAAAAGTTGAGAAATCTAAAACTTGAAAAAGTCGAAAAATTTTATAAACCGAAAATCAAGATGTAAAGAAATGGGAACATCAAAAAATCGTAAAATCCAAAAATTGAAAAATCAGAAAATTGAGAATTGAAAAATCGAAAAATTGAGCAAAGTACTGAAAAATCAAGTACTTAAAAAGTCTAAAAATTGAAAAATAGAACTATGGAAAAACTGAAAAATCGAAAATTTAAAAATTCAACAAATCGAAAAATCGAAGAACTGAAAAATCGAAAAATCGGCAAAACTAGAATTTCGAAAAATTGAAAAATCCAAAAATTGAAAAGTTCTAAAAATTGAAATGCTGAAAAATGGAGAAATCGAAAACTATAAAAATCGGAAAATTGAAAAGTATAAATATCGGAAGAACTGAAAAATCGAAAAACCGAGAAATCGAAAATCCAAAAGTTAAACAATCCAAAAAATCGAAAAGTAGAAAAATGGAAAAATTGAAGACATTTATGTTAAAAATCCCAAAACCGAAATATCGAAAAAATGAAAAATGAAAGAAAAATCGAAAAATTGAAAAATAGAGAATTTAAAAATCGAAAAATTGAGCAAGGTACTGAAAAATCAACAATTTATAAAGTCCAAAAACCAAAGGTTAAACAATAGCAAAAGTGGAAAAATAGAAAAATTGAAGACATTTACATATATTGAAAATCCCGAAACCGAAATATCGGAGAATTGAAAAATAAAAGAAAAATCGAAAAATTGAGAATTTAAAAAATCCAAAAATTGAGCAAAGTAGGTACTGAAAATCTAAAATTTAAAAATTCAATAAATTGAAAAATCGAAGAACTGAAATATCGGAAAAACTAAAATTTCAAAAGTTGATGAATGAAAATAAAAAAAATTGAAAAATTCTCAAAATTGAAATGCTGAAAAATACAGAAATCGAAAACTTTATAAAAATCGGAAAATATAAATATCGCAAGAACTGAAAAATCGAGAAATCGAAAATCCAAAAGTTAAAAAAATCTCAAAAATCGAAAAGAAGAAAAATGGAAAAATTGAAGACATTTACATAATGTTGAAAAATCTCAAAACCGGTATATTAAAAAAATTGAAAAATAAAAGAAAAATCGAAAACATCAAAAAATCGTAAAATCTAAAAATAAGAAATTTAAATAATCGAAAAATTGAGCAAAGCACTGAAAAATCAAAAATTTTAAAAAATCGAAAAATTGAAAAATATTTATGTTAAAAAATCCCAAAACCAAAATATCGAAAAACTGAAAAATGAAGGAAAAATCGAAACATTGAAAAATAGAGAATTTAAAAATCGAAAAATTGAGCAAAGTACTGAAAAAAAAAATATAAAGTCGAAAAATTGAAAATTTGAAATATCGAAGAACTGAAAAATCGAAAAATCCACAGATCCAAAAACCAAAAGTGTAACAATAGAAAATGTGGAAAAATAGAAAAATTGAAGACATTTACATATATTGAAAATCCCCAAACCGAAATATCGGAGAATTGAAACACAAAAGAAAAATAAAAAAAATGGGAATTTAAAAAATCCAAAAATTGAGCAAAGTACTGAAAATCTAAAATTTCAAAAATTCGATAAATTGAAAATCTCGAAGAACTGAAAAATCGGAAAAACTAAAATTTCGAAAGTTGATAAATTAAAATCTAGAAAAATTGAAAAGTTCTCAAAATTGAAATGCTGAAAAATACAGAAATCGAAAACTTTATAAAAATCGAGAAATCGAAAATCCAAAAGTTAAAAAAATCTCAAAAATCGAAAAGAAGAAAAATGGAAAAATTGAAGACATTTACATAACATTGAAAAATCTCAAAACCGGTATATTAAAAAAATTGAAAAATAAAAGAAAAATCGAAAAACCGAGAAATCGAAAATCCAAAATTTAAACAATCGTAAAAATTGAAAAATCGGAAAAATGAAGAATTGAAAACCTGCAAATCGAAAAATTGAAAAACCGAAAAATCTAACCCCAAGAAGTTGAAAAATCGAAAGGTCTGGAGATCGAAACAATCTCTTAAAATTGAAAAATCCAGAAATTGAAAAGTACTGGAAAATCAAACAGTTAAAAAATCGAAAAATCGAAAAATTGAAAAATAGAAATATCGGAAGAATTCAAAAATCGAAAAACCGAGAAATCAAAAATCCAAAATTTAATCAATCGCAAAAATTGAATTGCTGAAAAATTAAGAAATCGAAAACTTCATAAAAACCAAGAAACCTAAGAATCGAAAAGTTAAAATATTTTATAAATCGAATAACCGATAAAAGAAATCGAAACATCAAAAAATCGTAAAATCGAAAATAGGAAATTTAAAAAATCGAAAAATTGAGGAATCAGAGTATGTACTGAATAATCAAAAAATTGAAAAATAGAAATGTCGGACAAACTGAAAAATCGAAAAACCCAGAAACCTAAAATCCAAAAATTATACAATCCAAAAAATCGAAAAAAAGAAGAATAGAAAAATTGAAGACAATTAAGTTGAAAAATCCCAAAACTCAAATATCGAAAAATTGAAAAATAAAAGAAAATTGGAAAAATCGAAGAATTGAAAAGTTCAGAAATTCAAATAAAAAAAATCGAGAAATGGAAAATTCAAAAAACTAAAATTTATAATTAAAAATTTGAAAACTCAAAAAACCGAGTATTCAAAATCTAAAATTTAAAAATCGAAAAACTGAGCAAAGTACCTACTGCAAAATCAAAAATTTTAAAAGTCGAGAAATTGAAAAATAAAAATGTCCGAAGAACTGAAAAGTCGAAAAACCGAGAAATCGAAAATCCAAAAGTTAAACAATCCAAAGAATCGAAAACCTGAAAATTGAAAAACCGAAAAATCTAAAACCAAGAAATCGAAAAATTTGAAAATCGGGAAATTGAACCATCAAAAAATCTTGAAAAATTAAAAAATATAGAAATTGAAAAGTTCTTAATCGAGAAAGTCAAGAAATCTAAAAATCGAAAAAGAAATCGGAACATCAAAAAATCGTAGAATCGAAGCATTGAAAAATCGAAAAATGGAGAATTTAAAAAATCGAAAAATTGAGCAAAGTACTGAAAAGTCAAAAATTTTAAATAACGAAAAATTGGAAAACCGAAGAATTGAAAAATCAAAATATCTAAAACTTCATCAAAAATGAAATCGAAAAGTTTAAAAATAGAAAAGGCGAAAAATTTAAAAAATGGAATAACCAACATATCAACAAATCGAAATTGAGAAATCAAAAACTGAAAAATAAAAAATTGAAAAATAGAAATATCGAAAACGTGAAAAATCGAGAAATCTAAATAACAAAAAAATTGAAAAATGGAAAATTCAATAAACTAACATTCATAAATTAAAAATTTGGTAAGTCGAAAAATCGAGACTCCAAAATCCAAAATTTAAAAACCACAAAAATTGAAAAATCGAAAAACTGAAACAGAGAAATTAAAAATTTTCAAAACTGAAAAAAATGAAAAATCGAAACACTCAAATATTCAAAAAATTGAAAAATCAAAATCGATCAACATCATTCAGGCCTGATCAGGTCAGATTGAATAATATCATATGACCAAAAGACCGATCCTGTGGCACTCCAAGGAATTTATTTTTAAAATAATGATGTTGGCAACACCATTAATTGACGGTCCAAAATTCCGATAAAAATTTTCAAAAATTACATCTGTCAACGGTAAAAATGACGTTGTGGGATTTTTTAACCACTCGCTTCACTCGCTATAAGTGAAATCTTAAAGAAGAAAATTTCGTTTTATAAGTAACGCAAAACAGATCAATTTACGTATTGAAAAAATGTAGAAAAGTGAATCAGTGACCTGACCTGACCTGATATAACCTGCTCCGACTAATATCCCGTTTCAGCATACATACAATTTAAAATTCTCTAATAAAATGTCGCTTCAATAAAAACCAATTTACCGACGAGACAGTTTTTGCCATTAGTTGTGTTTTGTTATTCTGAAAATTTACTTCCACACAAACGTAATTTTATGAGTAATAAATTAGACTCCACAGTTCCGTCTCCCAGGAGTACAATAGAAGGAATTTCAAAATTAATTAGTATGAAAATACATTTAGTAATGAACAGTTTAGACTCTCTTTGTACACAAATATTACGTCTGCCATACCTACTTCAAAAGAAAAAAAATGGTTTTCGTGATTAATGACTTTTTTTTTCTTTCGATAAAATGTTTGTGAAAATGTAGATACCCCAAGAACTCGAACGGGTTGTTAAACCCCGCATCCCTCCCATAAAACCAATAACATTATTTATTTAGGCATCCTGAACGCCCTTTATTGCACATAGTTGTCACAACAAAGCCATAAATCAACCAAAAACAACTTCTTCAGTTCACCCTCGAGCAAAAAACTAAACAAAACCAACTCACCTTCAGCTCGATCTCACTAAACGGCACCGCGAACCACGGCATGCCCACCAGGCTGTCCCTGTGGCTGTTCTCAAAGTCACTGAACACATCGTTGTTCGCCCACAGCACCACTTGCACCACCTCCAGCTTCTTCACCTCGCAGCAGTCCTGGTTGAGCCTCTCGTACAGCAGCCGCAACTTCTTCACGAAGTCGTCGCTCTGCTGGCTGATGTTGGCGAACGAGAAGTACACCCCCGTGATGTTGGCGCTGTACAGCGCCTCCTGCGCCCCCGCGAACCCGAAGGCCCCGTTCTCGTAGCGCAGCAGTTGCTGGCCGAAGAGACGCTCGTGCCAGTGGGCGTTGTGGGCCATGGCATAGCGTCGCGACGCTCGAGATCGACTGAAGAGCACGCGGCGGCGGCGTCGCGGCGCCGGCGCGTGGGGGGGATCGATGCGCGGGGGCTCGCACACGTGGGACGGGGGATGCGAAAATTGGAAAGGGGGTCGTGGGCCCCCTCACAATGTGTTTTGGTTTTGATTAATTAGAGTGGGGGTTTGTTGGGGTTTTCGGTGCTGCAAGTGGCTGCACTTTTCGTTGTTTTGCGAACATGAGGATGAGGAGTTTTATGCAATGCGATGCAAAAAGTCGGATGTTCGTCTCCCGCATTGATATTTCAGAGCGAACATTTGGTGCTCGAGACTGCGGCGTTTTGCTCTTTTTATTGGAACTGCTGGGATAAAAGTTTGCACTTTTATTCCGTTAAAAATAAACCTTAGTCGAGGCGGAATTTAAATAAGCGAGGAGAAAACAAAGGAAAAGGTCGAACGTTGCGAGTGTGCGAACCGAGGGAACGTTTTTTTTGATTATTTTGATTTGGAAGTGCGTCGTGTTTGTATTTTGTAATATTTTAGAGTAATGCTCGAGGTTCTGCGGTAAGTTAAGTGAATTTTGAGTGCGGTTGTGGTGTTACGCTCCCTTGACTTTACGCGAATTCGGGCCCTAATTTCGGTTTCGTTTCCCTCTAGCCGGGTTTTCTTACTTGCTGTGTAAAATAAATACTTTTTGTGTGAGTAGAAACGTTCGGTTTATGATTTTCTCAAGAATTTTGCACATCTGGGCATTGTACATATTATATTAAAATATAAAGTTAATCATTTCAAATTCCATCCTTTCAAATATATGCCAACGGCATGATGCTGTACTAATAATTCTCATAAAGCATCAGGATTACCAACTGAAATGTTAAAACAAATCAAACTTTAATTGATTATTACTACTTCCAGAGTTTAACTAAATTTTTTGCTGTATAGTTTCCCCAGTTCTAATTCGGTTTTATGATAATACTCCATTGTACAAAAGTTAACTTCCTTGACAATAGATTATTACTGCCGCTGATGGGACAGTCATAAATAAGAGTGTAACCATTATATGATATAATTGTAACGGCATGGTTAAATCCTTATTTATGACTACCCGATCAGCGGCAATAGTAATCGTAATCTATTGTAAAGGAAGTTAATTTTTCCACATCATAAAACCGAATCAGAACTGGGGAAACTATACAAGTGTTGTGGGTCTGCAATTGTATTTTTCACCGTTGTTGTCACTTTTTCTAGTCGTTTTCTTCACCCTTTTTGTCGTTTTTTTTATCGTTCTTTGTCCCATTTTTTGTATTGTCTCTTTTTCAACTTTTTTTCGTGTTTTAGATGACTTATCATCCTGTTTTCGCCCTTTCTGGCGTCTTTTGTTAGTCTTTTTTACTCTTTTCTTTGTCAGTCGCATTTTTTTGTCAATTTTTGTTGCTTTCTTTTCGATTGCTTTTATCACTTTTTTTATTTTGTTAACCTTTTTTTCTCCTTTTCATTTCCGCTTTTTTGATTTTTTTCTAGACCTTTTTTTTGTACACTTTTTGGTGTAAAATTTTCTTTTTATCGCACTTTTTAAGTTTATTTTCTAGGCCATTTATCACATTTTTGTTTTGCATTTTTTGTGAATTTTTTTTATTGAATCTGTTGTCTTTAATTTTTGCCACTTTTTATCGCCTTTTTGCTCGTTTTTTGTGTTTTTGTCCTATTTTTTTAAGTTTATTGTCGTTGATTTTTTCTTTTCTTTTTCGTTTGTTCTGTTGTCCTTTTTTCGAATATAATAATTTTTTGTCTGTTCTTTTGGCGGTTTTACTTTCTTTTTTGTCGGTTTTATTTGTCTTTTTTGTGATTTTTTTGTGACATTTCCGCCCTTTATTATTACTTTCTTGTTGCTTGTTTATACTTTTTATTATATAATTTCTTGATGACCATTCTTTACTCTCTTTTTTGTCGGTTTTTGATGTTTTTTGTAGCTCTTTTTTTGGCCCTTTTTGTTTTATTTTTTTTTTTGTTTTAACCCTTTTCTCCTCTTTTTTTTAGTTCTTTTTTTAATCTTCTTGTGATTCTCTTTTTTTGTATTTTTTTTTTTGTTGAAATTGTTGAGAATTTTTTTTTGGTCTTGTTTTTGTTTGTCTGATTTTTTTTCATTTATAGAATGTCTGAATTTACTGAAATACTTGGATCCCTCGAACTTGTTATAATCCTTGGATTTTCTTTGCTCTTTTTTTGTCGTTGATTTTTATCGTCTCTTTTTGTCTTTTTTCTGTACTCTTTTTTCTCAACTTTTTCGTTGTTTTTTCTGCTCTTTTTTTTCTGTCGTTATTTTTCATTCCATTTTTTTTAATACCTCTTTTTTGCTCTTTTCTTTCATTTTTTTGGCCCTTTTTCCATCTCATTTTTTTATGTCATTTTTTATGACCATTTTTCCTTTTTTTTTGAAATTTCTGGAATGTCTGGAATCTCTAGAACCTTTGAAAGTCTTGTAGTCTTCAGAATATTCAAAGTATTCAGAATCTTCCGAATCCTTAATGTCTTCAGATTTGCTGAAATCTTAAGTTCTCGAAGTGCTGAAATTCTTCAGAATCGTTAAAATCTTCAGAATTTCTGCAATATAAGGATTTTTTTTAATTTCTGGGATTTCTGGAACCTTGAAATTCCTATAATATTTAGAATCTTCGAAATCTTCAGTGTTCAGATTTTGTACAATTTTCAGTTTTGCAAATATTTTTGCAATACTCCGAATTTTCAGAATCTTGAGAATCTTAAGTATCTTCAGAACAGTCAGAATCTTAGGATTCTTCAGAACCTTCAGAAACTCCAGAATCTTCTGTGTTTTTAAAATACCTAGAATCTCTGGAAATTTTGGAACCTTTGAAATCTTCAGAATCTTTAAAGACTTCAGATTTATTGGAATCTTCATCTTTCGAAGTACTCAGAATCTTCAGAATCTCCATAATCTCGGAATGTCCGAAATTTTTGGAATTTCTGGAAACTCTAAAGTGACGGAATATCTGGATTTTTTAAATTTCTGGAATTTCTGGAACCTTGAAATCATTATATTTAGAATTTTCGAAATCTGAAAGGTGTTGCACTACTCCAAATCTTGAAAATTTTGAGAATCTTAAGAATCTTCAGAATTGTCAGAATCTTTGGATTCTTCAGAACCTTCAGAAACTTCAGTATCTTTAGAATTCCTAGAATCTCTGGAAGTTTTGGAATCGTTGGAATTGTTAGAATTTCTAGATTGTAGAATATCCCGAATCATTGGAATTTCTGGAATCTCTGGTCTCGGGTATACGGAATTTTTGAAATTTCTGGAACCTATGGCACGTTTGAAATCTTTATAACTTTCAGGATCTTCTGAATCGTCAGTCTTCAGATTTTTTGCAATCTTCAGTTTTAAAATACTCCAAATCTTCAGAATCTTGACAATCTTTAGACCTAAAAGTCTCTGTATACCTATATGCAGAATTTTTGGAATTTCTGGAACCCTTGGAATTTTTGAAATCTTCAAAGCTCTCAGATCTTCAGTCTTCATAATCTCTAGAATATTTTGAATAAATTTCTGAATTTACTGAAATCCTTGCATTCCTCGAACTCCTTATATTCCTCAGATTTTTATTTTAGGTCGTTTTTAACCCTTTTTTCCACTTTTTGTAGTCTTTTTTCGGCAATTTTGTCATTTTTTTTTATGTATTTTTTTTTTGTTGAATTTGTTGTGAATTTTTATTGTCCCTTTTATCATCTTTTTTATTTATTTTTTATTACTTTTTTCTTTTTTTCTGGCGTTTTCCTTAGTCGGTTTTCTGTCGTCCTTTTTTTTAAGTTTTTGTCGTTTTTTCGCTCTCTCTTTGTACCTTTTCTCGCATTTTTTTGTGGAGCTTTTTATACCGTTTTTGACGTTTAAGTTTTGTTTCTTTCGTCCATCTCGCTTGTTGTAAATACATTTTTTATTACCATTTTTGCTCTTTTTTGTCGTTTTTTCAATTTTTTTAAACCTTTTTTGTTCCCTTTTATCATCCTTTTTTGACGTTTTTTTTTGTATTTTTTTTTGTTTCCTCTTTTCTCGATCGCCGTTTTTTAAATTTTTTGTCACATTTATCTTTTTGTTTTTGTTTTCGTTGCCACTTTTTGTACTCTTATGAAACGTTTTTTGCTCTTTTTTTGTTGTTTATTTTTTATGTTTTGAATCATCTTTTTTTACTCTTTTTTTCGTCCTTTCCTTTGTGGCTTTTTTATCGCATTTATGACTGTTGTTTGCTCTGAGAATTTCCGGAACCTCTAGACTACTCTAGAGTCTCGAAATATCCGAAATTTTGAAAATTTTGCAATCTCTGGAATCTCTAGACCTTTCAAATCCTTGTAATCTTTAGAATATTCAAAGTATTCAGATTCTTCGGAATCTTTAAAGTCTTCGGATTTGTTGAAATCCTCAGCTTTCGAAATACTCAAAATCCTCAGAATTTTCAAAATTGTGAAAAATTTTGGAATCTTCAGAATCTTCAGAACCTCCAGAATCTTCGTATCTTTAGAATATAATATTTAAAATCTTCGAAATCTGAATGGTGTTCAGATTTTTTACAATCTTCAATTTTGAAATACTTATACCAAATCTTCAGATTCTTGAGAATCTTAAGGATCTTCAGAATTGTGAGAATCTTGGGATTCTTCAGAACCTTCAGAAACTCCAGAATCTTCAGTATCTTTAGAATCCCTAGAATCTCTCGAAGTTTTGAAATCGTTGGAATCGTTAGAATCTCTAGATTCTAGAATATCCAGAATCCTCGTCGCGACTATACGGATTTTTTGAAATTTCTGGAACCTATCGAACGTTTGAGATCCTTATAATTTTCAGGATCTTCTGGATTCCCAGTCTTCAGATTTGTTGGAATCTTCAATCTTCCACATACCTACTTTGAATATTCAGAATTTTCTGAATCTTTAAAAACTTCTGTACCTCCATTCAAACTCTACAGAATCTCCAGAATCTTTAGAATTTTGAAAGCCTCAGTGTGCGGAATTTTTGGAATTTCTGGAACCGTTGGAATCTTTGAAGTCTTCAAAGATCTCAGATCTTCAGTCTT